TATTTTTAATTTGTTTTGCTGGCATACATGTTTGTCTTCTGAAAGTCAACATCAAAATGAAAGAAGCTACTTAGATATTCAAATAATGGCGCAGAAATTGGTCAATAAGTACAGAGAGTGAAGTCAATTAAATGCCGTCACATATCAGCATTTCGCTTCACAATAACTTCACCTGTATTCTTTCACTGCTAAATTTTTCGGGATGGTATAGGTAAAAGTTTTTCTGTTTCTCTTCAAAAGCTCTTTAATAATATAGAGAGACTGAGAGTCATGAAATCAATATCCTAAGTGAACTTCCACAAGACAAAAACAGGAGGCGCGAACGGGATGAACGTTAATCACGTCGGAAAAACAAACCCAAAAAGTGTTTTATGACGTAAGCATGTGAAGATCATGGACCTTAAGAAATAGACTTAAACCAAACGGGTTTTCTCCCTCGTCTGAGGCGTTGCCGGCTGTCACCTTGATCACATCCTGAGGAGTAGGGACGAATTGCAGAAATTTAACAGTGGTTGCTCATTGCAGCGTGTATAATTGTCAAGAAAAGCTGGTTGTAGCGCCTCATTTCACAAATTAGAATTTCTACGTATTTTTATTTTTGAAATTGAGATTGATTTTTAAAAATTTAGCATATTTATCAAGCATAATTAACGTTCCAAATAATTATAAAGCTATTGCATGCTTTCAGGGCTGGATATTTTTTTAGCTTTTCCTATGCTGTAAGAAAATTTGTAACTACTTCTTTTAGAAAATTAAATTTTAAATCTGAACTAACAGAAAATTTCAAAAAAACAATTTTCTCTTGCAATTTTTATGCTTTTTATTGGTGTAAATAAGTAAAAAATACTAAAATATTTAAAAACGAATTTTTGAAAGTTTTGTTTAAAATTCTAAATTGTGCTACTTTTTTTAAAATTATAGATGAGTAGTATAGCACAATTTCTATAAAGGAATATTATTTTAATTATATTTCCTAATATACATCATAGTGATAAGCACGTTTGAAATCTTAATTTTTATACATTTATATTTAATAGTAAAATTGTATTTAGCCGTAATAATTAATTTTGCTTATTGTATTATAGTGATTATTTTATTAATTTATTTTTAGTTCTTCATAAGATTTTTTTAATTTAATGTTAATTTAATTTATTAACCCAAAGCGGCGGTAGCCTAGAAAAGCTGTTAATTTCGAAGCGGCATTTTGCGCTTTTTACTATAAGTGTCCGTGTTCCTTGCAAATTGTTGTTACCAAATATGATCGCCCTGTATTATATGTAAAGAAATTAAATAATGTAGAATCTGCATGAATACATGTATGTTTCTTGCACTGTGACAAAAACGACGGTATCTAGAGCCACCAAATTTTGAATAATGTAATCCTCCACCTGAACATGGGCATCTGGACGCCCGAATTTCGAATTTTTTTTAATCTATTTCATATTTTGTAAAACGAATTTTTAATCAACAAACTCAACGATTTCAAAGCGAGCAATGGTAACACTGTACGGAAAATGACATTTTTATCTCCAGTGCGGAAATTCTAAAGATATTCTGTTTTCAAATATATGTGGTTTACGGGCGAAGAGCATGATATTCAGTAAATATAGGTAACACCCAAAACTTTAGTTCCTTTTGGGCGTAATATAAAATCTGAGTGCTTCTAGATTTTATTTTATCTTTTTTTTTCCCCCTTCATTACGCTCAGAAAATTTTATGCTCCGAATTTTATGAATTATTAAAATAACTAACCCACTTTAATGTTAATAATCATGTAATAAAATAAATATGATCGTTTTCTAATGTTATTATAGTTTGGAAAATCACTGCCTGAAAATGTTCATTAAATTAAAAAAAAAATTTTATCAGATCTTGTTTAATTTTACCTTATTTATTTCAAAGCATCAAGTACTATCAATATTATTTAATTTTACTTAATTTTTACGCAAAATTACGTTAATAAATTTTGTGCTTAGAGTTTTTAGCGTTTTACCAAAGTAAAGATGTTTGTGTACAAGAACTACGCGTGAAAAAAAATGCGCTAAATGCAGGAAAATGTGCTTTAATGAGATATATTAAATTCTATTTGGAAAAAACTGTGGCTTTCATAATCTCATCATTATACAACGTATCACATTTAATAATTAAAAAGAGTTATGTGATACAAACGCCTTATGTTTCAGTGTTAAAGTAAACCTGATCGTCCCTACGTTTTCTTGCCGACATGTTGGTGACACGCGCCCCGCCCACTGGGTTAGTCTATCTCTTATAAGGTCCATGGTGAAGATCACAAATTGTACCTTAGGGACAGAATAAGTGGCGTAGCCTTTTACTGACGTAGAAATTGCGAAAGAATACTTTATAAATGCTTCTAATGTATTATTTGATAAATTTAGTAATAAAAACCAAATAATTGCGCAAACTAAAAGTAGGCAACTTTGAGGATTTGCAGCATTAAGGGCATTAAAAATATTGCAAAAAAACATTTCTGATCATATTTTAGATTTAAAAATTTACATATTTTAGTTTGGCTTTTGATTCATCATCTACATTTCAACAAATCACAGTGCTCCGTTTTGTTAAATTCTGTAGTGATGTTAGGTAGACAATGTATTTTATTTCATTTTGTTGTAGACAATGTATTTCATTTCATTTTGTTTTCAATGTATTAGCTTATTTCGTGGCCGTGTTATACACAAATTTTTATATACCCCATTTTTAGCCATATTGCTTTCCACAGGTTCGAGTATAGAAGACAACGCATTTTTATTTCGAAGTTCACGTTCCCTCAGATACCTTTCCTTTTCAGCGCAAGCACTTAGTCTTGTTAAATTCTGTAGCGAGGAGAATTAAATTCACGAAGATTTTTTAAAATTTCTTCCTATGAAGAATCAAACTAGAAACTATGATTATTAGTATATTTGTAGAAGACAATTGTATAATATATATATAGAAATTAGCTTGTGATCCCAAACAATACCCGAAAATGGATTTGTTTCCTTAAAAATATGATTTCACAAATCCCTTACCGTTTCATAGTATCATTCACCAAGAAAAATTGGCAACACGTTTCTTTCATCCAGAATTAACGCCGTGGCGAAAACTGCAATTAATGCAACGAATTTTCTTCATTCACGCGAATTGAATAATGAGAAATTTAAAAACGTGTTGCAAAAAATAGCGGTTTAAAATAGCAAAAAATTATAGCAGTGTACTTTTGCATACCCTGATAGGATGATTAAACAAAGGAAAAGTTGCGGAGCTTTTTTGTTTATGCCAAGAAATTATTTCATGTTTTAGATGAAACATTAAAATTTATAGCGAACTTTAAAATTATGAATGATGTCTTTCTGTGCGACATCACAGAAAATCTTAATGTTCTTATTCACAGGGTGAAAACATAAAGGTATTTTCTCGTCATCCCCAGGTTTCAACTTTCCGTAAAATTGATGTGTTTTTGGCATATTTTCGAGTATATGTAGAACAATAGCTAGCTACGAATGCGCTGCCCACAACCTTATTTGAATACATGCTGATTTACAGTCTTTATTTTTAACCTAACGGTAGCCACCTGCTGTAAAAATGTAAATATTAACCTTAAAATTTCTTTCTAATAAACTAGTTCTATTTTTTCTTATATTACTTATGATCACAATACTACCTACCAGCCTCAGTCTATATATGCATATATTAGTCTATATATACTATATACTAATATACGCGAACAGCTTCTATAGAAATCAGTTTGATGTATTAACAGTAGCATATAGCGATAATAAACAATTTTTTTTTTTTTTTTTTAAATAGTACAGGTTTGTCCCAATGTGAAAAATCACATTAACTTTTAAATAAAGATTTGGAAACACGAAGGTTCATTTTTTATTTTTATACTAACCTATGAGATATTTTATATCATATCACATCCCACATAATATACTGAATATATGCATAATGACTCAAAATAAAAAAAGACTTAGATGGTCATATTAAAAAGATGTAAGAATGCTACAAATTTGTATGCCAACACAAGAAAAAGCACTTCCTTATTAAAGTAGCCACTGCACTTTTTCATCAAAATTAACAAATTTAAATAACCAACCTTGTAATGCGTAAGTTTCATACATCATACATGTGGGGCCGTTTTAGGTTGAAAAATTATCCGAAAAAATTTTTAAATGTAAGAGATACTAATTCACAGTCGAAATTATTATTTGATTCGCAAATAGTAAGATATGTTATGCTCCCCTCCCATCAATTTTTAAAAAAGGGTCAGTTTGTGAACTCCCTTTACAACTTTTCCATGATTTTTAATATTTTACTGCTTTAACCCGAACCTTCTAGTTTTAATAACATTCGTATTAACATATCATAAGCAACAAGTCAAACTACAAATTTTAATTACAAATGTATGTTTAAATGTTGGGTATTTAAGAAGTAATTGGATTATGATTTTTACGTAATTATTCTAGATGCCCTATCAGTATGGTAATCAATGAAAGTAGTTCCGACATTGAAAAGCTAGATTTTTAATTCCATCTATGGTATAGGTGTTTATGTTTATAGGGTTTATGCAAAATAAATACTTAAAATCCACCAATTCGAAAGCTTTTTAAAAAGGTTTTTACTGGGGACACAGGACATTCTTGGTCAAAAGTGAAAAAAAAGCTAGGCTAGATTGCACTGTCACCTCAGTTGTTCAAGGTGCCAATACACTTTACACTGTGATAATACCTTACACACTGGTATAGATGCAATCCATCCATTACTAATTATAAAGCTTATCCCTTTTTTTAACCACTGGATCTCAATATAAGCAATAATAGCATCAACAACATAATTATTATGTTATATGAATCTCCAGGAATATACATCTCTTGTTTGATGTATGTAAAATATTGCAAAAGCACCCAAAATATTGCATTTAGGAGAAGAAAATGAAAGGAATGTAGATTCATGGTTTTAGTATAGTGATAACACTATATTTAAAATTCAAACAAATACCTGCTTTTGAAGACGTTTATTCTAGCCATATATATCACTGTCACACATATTTGGGAGAAAACTGAGAATTGCTTATCTGCATTTCATCAAAGTCATACATAGCAATATACGCACCACTAATTTAAACATCACAATAATATATAATATCATATAGTTTTTAAATATCAAATACAAAATTTTCCATTTATGTGATGGATCAAATATTGCTTTCATTCATTCTCAGAATCAGTAAGCACTCAAAATAAACATATAACAAGCATGAACTTAAAAAACATACAGTCAATAATAATCAAAGAATATTACTTGTTCCATAGCTCTATCTATCATAAAATTAAATATCTTTATATTTCTATATATATACACACATTAACAGATGAAAAAAAAAACGTGATAAATAACATGCATGTATCTTAGAAGTTGTTTTTGACATAAATATAATAATTTTTATATGATACATTAAATCAACAATGAACAATGTGTCTAATAACAGCATGTTTTGCTATTTACATCATGAGAAAAATATTAACCCATTATCATAATTGCATTTTTCAGCAGATAATAAAATATGCGATAAGGTATACAAAATTGAGCCACAAACCTTGAAATTTGCTGAGAAAGATGAACAAAAACATTATTAAAACTGGAATACATTAATATGAAAATTAAGTTATAAATTTAAAAAGAGAAAAAGGAGAGAAAAGACAATGGATTGTAAAATTTTGGTTGCTTTACACCAGGGCATCTTAAACTTTCTGAGTCGCGACCCCTTTTTATTATTGAGATTTTTTTTGCGGCCCCCAGGACCCCATAATATTTACAAAAATTTTGTAGGACCCCATAAGCATTGTGCAAATCCAACACACGCGTGAGTGAAACTGTCAATTTTTTTTCACTTGTACTGTTATATATTGCAGTTTCAGGTAATTAACTTTAATATTTAATTTTAAAACATAAAACAATGAGAAAATTCTAAATAAGTAAATGACAGCATCATGTACAAAGCAAGTAAAATGAACATTTATATTATGAAAAGAACGTATCGAAACATTGTCGTTTGTTCTTTGTTTGTATTGTCTTATCTTTATCTAGTTTCAGATACACTGTGTAAAAATATTTGGTAATTGTAAAATTATTATAATAAGTTAAAGAAATATCAAAACTGCTAAAAGTTTTGGCAACCCCCTGCTGCAGATGGGGTTCATGACCTACAGTTTAAGAAACTCTGCTTTACACAAAGTTATATGATGATCTTGACAGTTTTCATACATTGCTTCGATTAAATACATTTGAAGACAATGTACTTTCAAAATGGAGTCTAGAAAACAAAATTAGCCTAAAAGTATGTATGTTTTTAAAATCACATTAGGACTTTCGAATCTGAAATACTGCTAGATATATTATATATATACATATTTTTTTTACAGAAATAAAAAAAGTATTTTTAGATAATTTTTTAACTGCATATCATAGGGCTCATTTTTTCAGAAACATTTGCAAAAATGTATCTAGTTCTTAATTTAATACAATTTAAATGTTTTGAAACGTCAGAATAATATTCTGCTCTTTAAACGTTTTTTATATCACAAATTTTCTTGTAATTAATACGTTAATATTTCTTCATTTAGAGAGGTAAAAATATTTAACTGTGAATTAAATGGATATTTGGTACTAACTAGAAAAGGGGAGAACTATCCCAAGAAAAAAATTATTAAAAGTTTCTATATCCCTAAACTAAAAACAAATTTAAATGTTTAGTGGAAAAGTCATGATCAATAAAACTACACATTTTTAAGCACAGACACTTTACATGAATTTGATAATTATAAAATATTACTTGTTTACACACATCTTCAGAATTATTCAAAAACACCTTTAAAAAATTTAAAGTTTCAAATACTTTTAGAAATGGGATCACATGGGAATTTTATTTATTTTGCTAGCTTTTCTAAAGTAAACTAACCAACTAAATAAAAGACGGGAAATTTTTACAGTAAGTTTAGTTTGAGTTAATCATTGCAGATGTATTTTTGGAGCTCAAATGTCATGATTCAGTATTTTACACTCAAAATTGCATACACATGATTCAATTATTATGCTAGTTCATGAAAGTTCAGAACTACTCACAAATAATAATTTTAAACTCTCATTAAAACATATTTATGGTAGGATGGTAAAATTAATAATTTCCAATATTTCTATAGAATCTTGCAGTATTTCTAGTAAATCTTTGGTTACTTTAAAAACTTAAATAAAATAATAAGCTCTGAAGTACTGGTTCTCCCTCTTAAAGAAAAAATATAACACTGTATCAAGATGATAAAGATAAAACTACATAATTTTTCATATAAACAGATAATTCTTAAATACAGGTATATGTATATATTTAACAAACCAATACCGATGCATACCAGACTAGTTTTGCAAATATCAGTGTCATGGACAATTAATCTCTATATGTTGATGGCAATCATTTACATTTATAATAAATAGCATTTATTTAGGTTCAGATACAAACAAAAATTAAATCCCAGCATTAAGACATACAGTACATGAATAAAACACACACACCACATTTAATCTATAATAAATTAAAAAAAATATATAGTACAAAGATAATCTACAGTTGATAAATAGGCCTTAAATATATTTGTTGTTATTTATATCACAGATATTTTACAAATTACTGAACAAAAAAATACTTATAGATGATATATAATGACAAAAAAATTCAATTAATCTCATTTGTTAAAAAAAGCATTTTTTTTTAAAGGCAGCAAAGCATTTTCATCTACTATGAATAATTGTTAAAATTACACTTAATGTACTAGTTTTACTATACACACATTTTTATATACACTTATCGTGGAAAACTTTCTTAATTGAAATGAGAAAAAAAATATATACATAATATGTATAAGATGACAGGAAGGAGTTTAATTTCTTAATTCTAAATATGAGAGCCTAAGAAAATGAATTTAATCTAATTTTGTTAATTTTAACGCATTTAAAAGCATAATAATATGTAACTCTTTTCTTATTTTTCAGAACTTTAAAAAAATAACCTAAGCAAATACAATTATTAAAAAGAAATCTGTTATACATTTTGTTTTAAAACTTGGCAAAACTCAATCTTAAAATGAACCAAACTTTGCCAATTTAAATTTTTCGTGAAATCAGATCATGTCAGGATATTTTTATTGTCTAATTAAATAAATAAATAAAATTCATACAAATTTTTATTAATTCGTGTGAATTTAATTAATTTTTATTAATTAATTCATGTGAAGTTGAAATATTACTTTGGATTATAAACTGAACTTCACTCAAGAAGACACAGAAGGCGAAACATGATCAGATTTCAATAATTGTTGGTGATTTTATCAAAGAAGGGCTAAATACCCTTTGAAAAGTCAGTCTTTTTCCATGGAATCAACAATAATAATTATCTTTTAAGTATAATAATATCTTTAAAAGAACAATATATCAACAATAATAATAATCTTTAAAAAGCTTTCATACTTAATCTTTAACTAACACTTCTATCTTACAAAAGTATTTTAACTGTAATAGTTTTTTTTTTCCTTCATTTTCTGAAGGGATAGTTTCTCTGTTAATAATCTAATTAATCTTAGATACATTAGTGCTAGAATTTATCTTTGAAAGTCTATTTTTTCATTTTTTACTTCAAGTGTTTTGTATATCTATATATCATACAATTGTACACTGCAAGCAACAATCCGATATTGATATTTCTTTCTTCGTCAAGGGTCAACATTTTACACGATGTATGATGGTTACATTTTAAATGCATACACATGAGCGACATTTCAGCAGACACATTTTATGACACAGGAGATACAAACAAAAGGTTTCAATGAAATATAATTCAACTGAAGAAAATTTGAGAAAATGTAATATTTCTACACAATTGGCATTCCTAAAAATGTTCAGCTACTGCTTCTCATTTGCACAACATTTAAACAATTAAAATGAATGCTTCCCGTTGCAAGTAAAACTGTCCAAAATTATGATATTCTGAAAATGTGGGACTAAATCTTTCCTTAGACACAGCAATAACATTTATATTAAAGATATGAAACAATCAGAACATTCAAAAGAATACTGCTTCCTTAAAAAAAGCTCATATCAGTCCATCTCTTGAAATACATTACACTATGTTCTAGCATGCTAACTGCCACAGTAATATAGGTACATGAAATTTCATCAGAAGCCATTCTAATACAAAGAAAGATCTTCAGAAATTACATTTCCTAGCATGACGAATTCTTGCTATGTTGAAATTTCTCATTAGCTTCTTGCAATTATCTGAATATTCAGAATCATCTGTGTGAGGGACATATTCTTCTTTGTTTAAAAAACTGGATTTATTTAGACACATGTCTGATAAATATTTTGAAAGTTTTTTTTTTCCCCATCTGGTAATGGTTTTCTTGTGCCCTTATCTTGCTTGTTTAGGATGGGAAGACCCTGGTAAATTGTCATTTAAACTACTCATAGCATGGTGAAATTTTGGAAAAACAAATGAAAAAAATGTAAAACCAAAAACAAAAAAGTTATATTTACAGCATTTACTGTCACGCCTATAACAATTATACACATAGAACCCACAATATCAACCAACATAAAAATAACATATTAACATATACCTCAATGCATATAATTGGCAGTGAACATGCTTCAATAAATGTCAAGCACAGGTGGAATTTCTTCAAATTTTTAAATTAAGCACGCTTATTTTACATCTATCACTTCCAATTACCTCAGCCTTTTCTTTAATACCTTACTTTACCTATAACATACTATATGATAATCTCCTATTGATCAAGTCTGTACAATATAAATTTTACAAATTAGTCATATAATAGTCATAAATAAATAATTTTGTTTTTCTAAAATTAATGTTCCTAATGTAAAAAAATGAAGGGGGGAGACACTTTTGAGCAGTTGAAAATTATTTTTAGAAACAAAAGGTTAATCAATTTAATATATTTCTAACAACAGAATCTAAATTCTTTCTAAAAGAGAATTTTCTTAATTTCAATAACTGGTTTTAATATATTTTTGATATTTTTATTTAGAAAAGCAGCAATAAATAAAATCAGAATATCAAATATGTAAAATTACAATTTTTTTTTTTTTTTTTTTTTTAAATTTTTTTTTTAAGATTTGCCAAATATGAAACTCTGATTTATTCCTGACAACAATATTATACTAATAATACAATATCTAAAATTGTAAATTATACATTTAAATGATACTACTCAATATTTACAAAAAGATATCACAAGTACTAAAAATAAAATTAAAAATAACACAATATTCAAGTTATTATTTAACTCAATGTAGCCAATTTCTGTATGCTTGATAGCCAGTTTAAACTATTATCTTAGAGCCACAAGCCATGCAGTATGTTATATTTAGAAAACATTTTGAATATATCTTTGATTAATATAATTCAAAACTCTTATAATTTTAATTCCAAACAATCTTTGAATGAAAATAATAAGATAGCAGAAACAATAATAATAAACTTTGCTAATTTTGTTACAGATCTCATGTGTCTTGCAGACCACCAGTTGATTATCACTGATCTAACTCAATTATTTTGTAAGAATAATACAGCAGGAGAGTAATAATATAACAGTTTTAATATTTCCTTACAAATACATGCATTTTCATTCAATATCACACATCTTTATTACATAGTAAAATGCATTTTAATGTACTTATTTTGTGACTATACAGATACTACATGAAAATGCATGTTTGTCAGATATTGGAATATACAGAATTCAAAATGACTTCATTTGTGACTTTCAAAATAATGAAGAAAATGATAATTTGCTCACTCAAACTATAAAAACATATACTAGTTAACTAAGTATAACTTAACAGTTATATGGCACATAACTAGGAACTTATGAAATGCAGACTCAAAGAAGTCTGCATTTGTATAACATGAAATAGTACAAGAGGACTATGTTACAAATTCCCATATTTTTCATTTTGGCAAAAATGGCATATAAACATGAAATGTGAAATTCCATGATTTAAGAATACTCCTAAAAGAGTATACTGTACATTTTGTTTAATATCAGTACTTCATCATAAAAAAAAGTTATATAATTTTAAAATTGAGCTTAGAAATACTTACATAAAATGTTTCACATGAAAAATAAAACTCAAACACTTAAAGTAGAAAACAAAAATCTTTCTGAAATGCTAACATATAACAGGAAAATTTTACCTGACTCTATGGACATTTTCAAACCGTTGAAAAACTGAACTTTTACATGAACTTTAACAATTTATATTAATGTAATGGTGACACTTCTTGCTACTTGACAATTTTTATAAATTAATGGTAACACTTCTTGCTAACCTGCTAGTTATTTGATTTTACCTTGTCAGCAGGTTTACAATAAAAGAGAACAAAACTTTTGAGTACTGATATGGGTTCTGCCTTTGCAGAAATAAGTTGATCATATACAATTTTTTCCAATAAACCAAGCTCTGGGATGTGAAAAAAAAACTTTTCTAAAATAGGAATTTTGTGTATGTTTATCAAAATTAATTATAATATTCAAACTAAGCTTAGTAGCTTCTAACACCTTTAAATGATGTGGCTAATAAAATCGAAGCTGGATTAACTATTAAGCAAAATAAGCATGTTCTTAGGGCATCAATGAAACGGGTCACCATAGAAAGGTGTTTAGGGATTCAGGATTTACCACAAAAATTTCACACTAGCAGTTTTACAATGGAATGTATGGTGCAGCTAAACCAAGATCAAAAGAGAAGGAATGTGGCAAAATTAGTGTAAATATGAGTGGAGGCATGAAAATCTTCTAAGACTTTAACCTGGCCCTGACTACACTCAGTATTTCGTAATGCTTGCCAGGTTTTTCGGGTGTTCGAATCTTTTTGTAGTTTAATGGAATTTATTCCTTATCTTCTGTAATTTTTAAAAGAGGTCAAAACTGTCATAGTTGTTTTCATTGTAAATTCTTCCCAAATTATGAGAAAATCAGCACAAAATACTAATATTCTTATTAAAAGTATTTTAAATTGTGCTCAGGCCTCACCTCGACTTTTTTCCTAAGCAGCAAAAAATTACAAATCACATAACACACTAAAACAATCTGTTAATACTTCTGGAACAAGAAAAGCTTTTTAAGAAATGAAGAAGCCATTAATTAAAGGCAAATGGATATCCAATACATAGAACATCTGAAAACCTTAAAAAAGTGCAAATGATAAGTAGATTAAAATAACACAACTCAAAGAATGGATAAGTATCACATCAATAATTAATGAGTATCACATAAAGAAACTAAACAATAAATAGAAAAATAAAACTCACAAAAAATCAGTAATCAAACTGATATATAACAGAATGAATTAATCATATCTTAAAAGTTCAGAATTTTTCACTATTTCCAAATGTCCATATAAGTAGGTAGATTCTGGAACAGATTTTTACCTTATTTAGTAGTATCAAAGTATTTAAATACTTATTTTAGTTCAAATCTAATCACAGCAAATAATAATACAACTAATAAAAAAAAAAAAAAAAAACGAATTAAAATTTGATATCTTAAAATTTATATAACACTATTTAAACAAGTAACAAACATTATATCAATTACATTGAGATATTGCACATGATCATCTTCCCGGCAAATGATAAATATGTTATGAGGGAAAATGTCATGGGTTTTTAAAAAATCATATAAAATACCTTATTTTATTAAATACTTAGATATTTCATTTTCATTAAAATACAAAAATATATAATATTTAATACACAATATGTCAAAGAAAATTAAAAAGAAATTGTGTGAAATACCTAATACTATTACTTTTTTTTTTTTTTTTTTTTCCAATTATCAACTACTGAGTATAAAATAATGGTCAACAAAATACTTATTTAAAGGAAAAAAGCCTCCTTTAACCCTAAGAATGTTTATCTGAAATATCATTTAAAAGCAATAACTTCAACAATTTTGCACTGAAAATCTTTTTGAGAACATAAAGGATTATTATCAAAGGTATCACAACGATCAGTTCTCCCATGCAATAGCTGATCATCAAGCAGAAGTCCTTGGCCATTCCTAAAAGTATATTTAAACAACATAAAATGTAATGTTTGTAGTTTGAAAAAACATTACATTTTTTTATAGAAACTTAAATACACCAACATTTCTAATTATAAAAAAAAAACAATTTATATTTTTAAGAACCTTTAAGAAAAAAAAAAAAAAAGAAAAAAGAAAGAATGATAAAAATTATGTAGCATATTCTGCAAATGTAGTGAGCACAAATTCAGATCAAATTTTACAAAAACCGTTCCCTAAAATCTACTAATGATAGCACATAGCAAACCCTTTGTAGTAATTCAATGAAAATGGTATTTTACATTGGATCTTTTAGTTTTGATTTTGAAAGAAACGTTGTTTACTTATTCTTTAACTCTCTCAGTGCTAGGGATGGAAAATTCCATATAGAAGGGTGACTTTCGTATTCATTACACATGAAAATTTCTACCAGCTTTTAATGTATCCAATTCTGAGTTGGATGTAGACTGGAAGAAAAGGAATCAAGGTCCGAAGTGAGAGAGTCGTTTCTTAATTATAGTCAAGAAAATACCATTTATTCATGACATTTTCAGGAATTTTAAAATTTCAGGGACAAAACCTGTAATGCTTGGAGCATTAAAAACTTATCTTTGACCTGCATAAAATGGATAAACAGAAAAAGTTTATTTCAGTCATTCAATCCAGATATTTAAAAAATCTCGTTTGTTTATAATTTAAAAAAAAAATATCTTAGACATGGAATAAGTGGCAAACAAGAATGGCTTTATTTCAATCACTCAACCCAGGTATTTAAAATCTTCTAGTAACTTTAAATGAAGTTCACTCTATTTGACATTTAGAATTCAGCATTAAGTTTATTTCCTTTAGTTAACATATCAAAATTAAAATTATTTTGTGTGCTTGTACAACTGAGCTAAAGCTTAATTTTTATTCTATTCAATTAATTTTGAAAGTGCAAACTAGTTCCCCCCTATACCCACTGCAGGATAAGAAAAATCAATTGCATAAGCATGTAAAGTACTATAGTCCAGATCTAAGCAGTATCTGCCATGATGTTCTTCAAATGCATGATTAAATTACATGCTACTTTCTAAAAAAGTATAAAAATTAACATTTTGTGCATATGTAAATGAAAAAAAGCTAAAAAATCATTAATTCAAGGCAAAGGAATAGTTATTTAAATAAATGGGAACAAAGGTTGCTGTACTGCATGTGATATATTAGGACCAAAATGCCATAAAGATTAAATTCAAGAAACACTGAAAACTAATTAAAATTTGATATTTTAAAATATAAATTGGCAACCATAATTAGCATAAAATGCAATCCTGCAGTCATGCTACAAATGTCTTAAAAACGGGCATGCCAGACCTATGTGTCAATTCCCAAGCAGCAATAATTCAATTTAATATGAGATAGCCAGAGCAGAAAGCATGTGCTGAATGCACCATCAGCATGATGAAATGTGTTAGTGGGAATAAAGGGGAACAAAAGGTTGCTGTACTGCATGCGATATATTAGACCAAAATGCCATAAAGATAAAATTCAAGAAACACTGAAAACTAATTAAAATTTGATATTTTAAAACGTATAGTAACAATACCTTAACAAGGTGTAAGCACATTATCAGTTACACTGAGATGATGATATACGCTGATCTTCTCAGTGAAAATGATAAATACTATGAGGGAACATGTCACAGGTTTAAAAAGGAATCAAGGTACAAAGAGAACTTGTTTGTTGCAATCCGCAAGACAATCCGTTGTTGTGTGAGAGCCGAATGTGCATTGATAGACTGTGGAATCATTACCAAAGGGGTCAAAACCCCAGGTAGAAGACATGGGACTAGACGCTGGATGATTACCTCAATGGCAGATGATTGCTTCCTGTTGTTATGTGCAAGACGTCATAGATCATGATGGCTGGAATCACAACAATAAAGCATTTCTCTGCCACTAAAAGACAGCCCATATCTTGCAAACTGTGTTGCATCAACTGCATGAAGGTGGACTGTATGCCCAACAAACTATGGTTGTGTTCCTTTGCCCCCACTGTCAAAGCATTGTTGAATTGGAACCATGATTATTACAGCTGGATACCAGGACAGATGTAATCATTGATTTCCAAGTTTGCTTGTATACTGTTATACACAGAGTCTAGTGATAGGTAGACGTTCCTACAGGAATCATTATTTGATTCATTCTTCTTTCTGAAATTCTTCATGTCTTCTGTCATGAATGCTGGCTAAATTCAAGATGGCTAAGCATCTTTGACTACCTTACAAAATAAGTGGTAGCTTTCGACCCACCTCTTCATAAATGCTTGTATGCATTGAATATGAATGCCTGAAGAATAGTCAATCTTTTCTTTCTTGAAAAATGTACATATCACATAAAATTCGAATAATGCAAACAAGGCTTCCAACTGATCACAACATACAATATGAGTTTATACAGGCTATGCTAAATACAATTGAAAATAGTGAAAATTGTCTCAGTACTCATATCACAACTGTCAAATATGGGGCACTGAACCACTATGTGCTTCGTTTGAACGCGATTTTTCAACAGTTTAAGTACAGTGATTGTCCTTTCTTTGATGCCAAGTACATATCACCATAATGGTGACATCTACTTGGACACATTAAAAATTTTTGCTACATCCTAAATCAAAAAACATGATGTCATTTTTGACATGGTGGTGTGGTGTATTTAATTATGGCAAAGCACACTAGGGCTATCTGCCTAAGGGGAGGGATGCCTTTCGTGGAGGACTTTCTAAGGGGAACTGGCTCGTATACACGTTACACATGGGGAAAACCACGAAAACGCCCATGCAGCCAGCCCGTTCGCGGGATTCGAACCTCGAACCGAACTACCAGTGTTCAGCGTCTTTACCGCTCGGCCGCTGGTGGGCCATTTTTGACATGATGGCATCCTCCATGATGTGTGCATGCAATTGCCTACATTAGCATTTTCCCAGCAAATGAACTAGTCATGGAGGTCCCATGCTTATTCATGTATCTTTCAACCAACACCATTATCTCCACTGCTCACTGAAGAGATTCGGAGAATTTTTAAAGCAGCTACATCTCTGCCTGACAGCCTCTGCCCCATGAAATTACTGCATTTTAGCTTTCCTGGTGCTGCCCAGACAGTAAAGTGGTCAGGGGAGCCCACTGCAATAACAAAGGGTACAGGCTCGAATTTCAGAGAAGTCATGGACGTAAATTGTCTGTCCCTTCATAGGAGGCTACGGTTGCCACCTATTATGTACCTTCATAATAAAATGACTATAGCACTTGGTAATCATTTTATTATGGTAGCTACTGCTCAGAAGAGGCAAAAGCCTGAAAATATCAGTGTTCATTGTTAAAAAGAATTACCGGGTTTGGTTTCACAAGAGCTCTCTTCTGGTCTTGGTTCAGGTGACAGTTCCTGAGGAAATGTCTTTCCAGGCTGCAATTTCATCACTTGATTGTTTTCTTTTCAGTGTTGCTTGAATTTGACCTTCTTAATGCCTCACGAATCTCTCTTATTTCTTCTCTCAGTTTTGCGACATCAAAATTTGAGTCTTGACAAATCTTTTGAGTCACTTGCTGAGCAGTGAAAAGAATGACAAATGAGCTGAGAAAAGGATGACAATCTTTCGAGTCGCTTGCTGAGCCGACTTAAATAAATGGTGTAGATCAAGCATTTCAGGTCTTTCAGATCGGCCCATCTGAGAGTCTTCTGAATTTCAGGATCCTAGACTGCACAACAAAATGAAGCGGGGCCAGATTTTTCATAGGCATCAGGTGGGCAGTCCAGATATGCTTGATGCACCAACCTGTTAATGTCAGCCGTCAGTTCTTGAAGTCTTTCTGTGATTTTCTGCTTGTAAATTTTCAATTGCAGGTATACAGTCCTTTACACATTTCCTCTGAACTCAATTCCAGCACATTCAAGAGGGTGTTGAAGTTTGAAATCTGGTCTTCTGAGATAGGACTCCTAAGATGTCTTCAGCATCGCCTTGGAGAGATGCAGCTAACTCTGAGGCCTCCACATGGGAGTTCCACTTGTTAGTTTTTGCCATGATTGAAAACAGGGTCTTATATACACTCCATGATGATTTTCCATTGTATGTGCTTGGTTTGATTACCATGTGAGAAGAAACTGGTAGAATCTTAAAGTCTTCAGGTTCGTTCTTGGGCTCAGCCCAGTTTTCTTTCAAAATGTTGAGATATTTCTAATTGCATTCTTACTGGTTAAAAGGAAGTATAGCTTTCTGTCACGTCCGATATATTCATTAGCTTTCATTCAGGTCCGAATTATTCTGAAACTGAATCCCATTCTTTGTTATTTTTGATTGGTTATTTATTGTGTCTTGTTTATGATTTTTTAAACCATGATCTGTTGTAAAGTTATATATACAATCTCTGTAACCGCTTATCCCTGCTTGTATTATTCTGCTTGTATTACTCTGCTTGTACATATCTCTGCGTGTATCTCTGCATATCTCAGTAATAAATATATTTGTTTTATGGCATTTTCTATGTTTAACAGCAGAGCATGGTTCGATAAAATTAGAATACACTGATAGTTTTCTAACTGAACCTTCTATTACAGTGTAATAACTTATCATTTGCGTGATTTTGTTTTGGTGTTTCATGAATGATGGCTTTTTCCGGAAGTCAAAAGGAAGCTTTTGGTGTTGCACCATTTGATGGTGTTAATAACTTTACTGTTTGGTGTCGAAGAGTTCAAGCCGTATTTACTGCAAGGGAATTGGATACATTTTTGGAAACAGAAGCAATTGCGGATAGAGTTGCAGATGTTTTGAAATCAAAAAAGGCTTATTCCTTAATACTTGCGCTTCTAAGTGATAATGTTATTGCTTCTTTTCAACGTGAAGACATGGCATGTAAAATATGGAAGAAACTACAAGCTACGTATAGCGCTAAAGGTGCAGTGAGTCAAATTTTTACGCGTAAACGTCTAGCTACCATAAGGAAATCCAAGGATGTGTCAATGAGA